TTAAACGTGCAGAGAGCGTTGCATTCTCTCTACAAGTGGCATCGAATTTAACGTCTCCACTCTGACCGAACGTGACTGTGTACTTGTACATCCCGCACAGCCAAACGGACGCTGGCATTGGTTTAACTGCCAATCGGAACAAGACCAACAGTGACCATATTTCTATTCCCCGCTCACCCTGGAGGGGTTATTGTTGAGGCGAGCACGCTACCATAAGACCATTGAGACAGTAATGAATATCGAAGATACATATACATTTACATGTATTAATCAAAACATTTGCAACAAGAATAAGACACCGTGCCACTTCACATGATCATTATGTTCAGTGCACCGCTTAATCCGGGTCAAACTCTAATTTGGTATATAATTTTAAACGTTACTTTTATATTTTGAACGGAACGGAAAAACTGACGGATGCACTGACCAGTAAATATAATATCCCTATTGCTATCAAAAGTTGGGAATTAAACTAAAATGACCATCCTACTAAACAAAACTTTAAGCAAATAGCCCGTGCATGTACGTTTTTGCATACGTATTTGCATAAGTTAAACGACAAACATTTTAGAAAAACAATTAAAGAGCAATGAAGTTAAATTACGCATACGTTTGTACGGACACTTCCTAGTATCAATGCACCACTATAATTAAAGTCAAGAAGTAAAAACATTAACTGATTCAGTAAAGTGAAATCATATTTTTTCTTGAAGATGCGTCCTCATAAATTCCAATTGGTAAAATTCTACGGAAAGGTGACAAAGTACTACCAGTCAGAAATATGCATCAGTGATCTGAATTTCTACCTCTGACAAAAGTATCTTGAAATAAATTATTATAGAAGTATGCTAAAAAAAAAATAGAAGCAAGTCGTGAACACCTTTTACATTCCGGCGTGTTTGAAACTCTTTTTTAATCTTATAACTCATAAAATGAAAAATGAGAATATCATCTCGCTTCAAATTCCATTATTTCTATTTTTTCAAACTTAATTTTGGTTTAGTAGCTTTAAGAATTCATTGCTTGAGAGATAAATATATAGGTCAAGTGAAATGACGAAGTAATGATCGGTACATTTGATTATCGTTAACTCAATTAATTATTCTCTTGAAAGGGTGTTGTCAATAAAATTATCCCATAGTTATTCACAAAATATGTAAAGAATTAAAGTAGCAGATTGCGCTAATTTTTGAATAGCATCTGTTGCAACAAAGTATGTGTATTCAACGAGCCAAAAATTCATGCAGTCTATGCTCCCTTCCGTCATCCTTTAATGCAATAGGTAACAGTACACATTTATCATTTTAGTTACCTTATTCACCATTAACGTAATTTGCGATGCACTACTGCACCGTGACATTGTGTGCCAAAGAGGTTAGCGCTGGTAGGTTAATCTCACTCCCATGGGTATGCATGGAATTGTTGATCATTACATTTTTTTTTTTCACAACTTTTTTAGATAGATATAAGAAGATGTGGTATGAGTGCCAATGGCACAACTCTCCATCCAAGTCACAATTTGTAAAAGTAAACCATTTTAGGTCAAAGTACGGCCTTCAACACGGAGCCTTGGCTCACACCGAACAGCAAGCTATAAAGGGCCCCAAAATGACTAGTGTAAAACCATTCAAACACGAAAACCAACGGTCTAATCTATATACAAAACGAGAAACGAGAAACACTTATGAACCACATCAACAAACGACAACCACTGAACATCAGGTTCCTAAATTAGGACAGGCGCTTACAAATGCAGCGGGTTTAAACGTTTTAATAGGTGCAAACCTTCACCCTAACCTGAAACAATAGTGTAACATCACAACATAGAAAGACACACTATAAAATATCAATTGCAATGGCTTAACTCAATCAAAAGACATATCAACAAAAACAAGTGAACATACACTGAACGAGTAAATTTGATCGAAGACACAATGTAAATAAAAAATTAATAAAACAATGGGGTTAGATGTAAAACAATATCAGAAAGACAACCATAACCTTGGACAAAATGCCGCCAAAAAAAATAACGTACACAGGAAAATAAAAATAATCTTGTTGTAAGGTATACATGGAGTACGGAAATATTTTTTACAAAATAAATAATTTTGTTGTTTATAGTACGAGAGCAGAAGTGATATTTATCGTCATACTAAACACTCAAAGGTGGTAAATATTAAAAATAGTGAGACGAGATATTACACTAAATAAGTAAACATTAAATAACAAAAATACATTACAAATTGTATCAACAGGTCAAATAACACGAAAGTACGAAAGTACGATTTGAGAGTACTCGCAGTTACTGAAAGCTAGTTAAAAGTCAAAACAATTAATAATAAAAAAACTTATTAACATCCAATTATTTAATTTCCTTGATAAAAAATTGCAATTTTTTTTCGTACAATGTTGCAAAACCAGTATTGTTTTTATTTGTTAGTTTTGCTGATACTGTTCATCTTTTTTTTAATTAACACTGGAAAAACTGGTACTTTGGATGGGAGACCGAGTGAAACTTTGCCATTCTCAATATCATTGAAATAAATGGACCTTTAAAGATCAAAAAGCTTAAAGTTCTGTCAATGCGATAAATACTAATATCCGCTTCTGTATTGATCTTTTTTTATAAAATAAAGTAGAACATTTTTTATGTTTACTTATAAAGTGAATGTAAAAATAGAAAATCGATCTTTGTCTTGTGTGAATAACTATTGGAGCAGTTGTGAATTTTGATGTGCTTTATTTTAAAAAGTTTCATTTTCATGATTTTATAGTAAGCTTTCTTCTGTAAGACTGTTGTGTTTATGAAATGAAATCTCGTTCTGGAATTATTTCCAAAACATCTGATATAAGTGGAAAACATCAATCAATTTAAAAAAATTTATAATCAAACTTAACTCTGTGAAAAAATCATGTATTTACAATAAGTAGTTTTTGAGTAATAAAATTTTCAAATTTTATAACCAATCAAGTCAGTCTCATTAGCCAAAATGTTGAGAAAAGGTGAGGGGTACAAGAAATGATTTTACCAGATACATGTACATCCCATATCAATTTTTTCTTTTCAAATTTCTGAGAAATGTATTTTTTCAATCATTTATAACAAAAAATATGAAATAACATGCTTTTTGTTCTAAAAAAAAGAGAAAAATTCTAAATTTACAAATTTGTCAACATGGTAAATTTGAAACGAAAAAGCAACAAAATTTTATAAAACTTTCTTATATTAACACCTACCCATATTTTTTTTAAGTTAAATTTATTCAGATTGGTCAACTTCATCTTGATTGAAAGTATGAAAAAAAGTTTAATGGTGAAACTGTGATTTTTTTTCATGATAATAGCCCAAAAATGGGTAAAAATTGATGAAACATGGGAAAATCATCAAAATTGGGTACTTTTGGCTAAAGCAAATAAAGAAGTGCACCACCATATGATTTTTTCTTCACCAACTATTTTTTTACAGTCTTATAAACCCAAAAATCATGTTAAGAAAAAAAGTTTAATTCTAGAAATTTTCTCAGAGGTGTACATCCTTTTTAGTCAGAACATAGATTTATAATAAAACTTGACCTAAACACTTTTAAAATATTTATGTCTTCTACAGACAATAGATAAAATGAACTTTGCGTTGTAATATGTCTTTTATTTTTACAGTCTGCAAGAATTTACTGGAAATGAAGATTAACAGCACTTTTATGACGTCAAATTTGTTCTTATTCTCCACTTATTCGATACGAATTCTTTGTTTGACTTCTTCTGTAAAGAGGAATAAAACATAACACGACTCCGCTAAATATAACCAGACCGCCAACAAAATAAAAAGGAATGCTGTAACTGCCGGTGCCATCATATAACCAACCTGAAAGTAACATTTCTATATATTATATGAACACATTTAGTTAGATATAAACTTCAAGCTATAACATGTATAATAGCAGAACTTCAGACTGAAATATGAAGTATGCCCTATTTGTTGAAGCTCAATTTTTTTGTGAATCATATATAAAACTGAATGCTTTATTTTTGCATGGTTATGGTTAAGTCTAACGTTTTTCGTATTGCCAAAGGTTATAGTTTCATTGCTATTTGTTTAGTCTACACGTTCCCAATTGCTCTTGCATTCTCTTGTTTTGGTGTAAATCCGTCTTACTGCTCTTGCTATTTTCTTGTGTGGTAGTACATCTGCCTTGATACTCGTCTTCCTTGGTTGTTTATCTGTACTATTTCTCTCAATCTTTTTTAGCTGTGCACTGTCTTGTTATTCTTGATTTATTATGTTTGGTTGTACATCTGTCTTGTTTCTCATGATTTGTCTTGATTTTCCATACGACAACCTTGGTTGACCGTACACCAGCCTTATTGCTTTTGATTTGTTTAATTTGTTTTTACATCTGCCTTGTTATTACTAGGTATTTTGTTTTTTTAATTTTAATAAGAAGTCACTTTCTATGTTCATTGTTTTGGTAGTTTTTGTTTTGTGCAATGTTTATCGATGTCAATTCTCTTAAAAGTCGTCGCTTGACCTTATACTTTGTTAATGTCTGTGTTCTTTTTACCGGTAAAAGTCTTGTATATCCGTCGTCCTAAAATTCTTGTTCCTCTCTTTTTATAATTTCAAATTGTTTTTAGGGTTTGAAAATTTAAATGATCGATGGATTACAAATTATGTGATGTCTTAAGGTTAGGTAAGATTTAATTACCAATCCGCTGTTGTGAGATGTCTAATCTTTTTTTCTTTTCAATGTATTTTATAGGAGTAACATGTGTCACATGTGTAGCTGAATCTTCTAACTTGTCCAGAGCCCCTGGGGACAATTGGTTTTAGATGGTTTCTTGTTGGACAGTCTTAAGTTTTCAATGTAGTGTCCTGTGGAAAGGTTTTCATCTTCATCGTATTTCGTTTTTCCAACGGAATTGTCAGTTTTTCTTCGACTAATGAGTTTTGAATGGGCCCTTGGTAACCTCCTGCCTCTTTTGGAATAACTTATAAACCTTACCACATATTGGTGGACCTAGGAAACAACCAATTCCCTGAAACATCATTAGTAGTCCTAATGCTTTATCTAAGCGTTCTGACCCTAGGAGGTCAACCAGTATCACAGTATTCAAACTTACAAATACACCTTTATTAATATAAAATCAAATGTTTAATAATTGTTAAAAAAATCTAACATAATTGTTACTTTCGTATTTTTAGTACGACCTCTCATTTTATGATATTTAGAGTAATTGTGAATATAATATGTGTTTTCAGCCGTGTATCACCTTCACTGGTGATCCAATGGATGAGTCTGTTGTAGAGTTGTCACCTGTTTAGACGTACTTATCAAAGAATTATTTCTCTGACTCCATCTTACGATCATTTACGACAGATAATTTAGCTAATTTGCAATCAATTCCATCTGCATGCCTAATATATCATGTACTGTGTTACAACTCTAGATTCTACTGAAATTTTAAGTTCAGTCTAGGTGGCCGAGTAGTCTAGAGCGCTGGACACAGTGCAGGTGGTGTTGGCTCAATATCCCAATAGCATGAGTTCGAATCCCGGCGTGGGAAGAACAAAAATTTTCCTCCGCAAATTTGCAGATTTGACATTGTATTGCCGATATTTAGAGTAATTATGTATATATATATATATATATATACAAGTCTAAATTGAAAACAACGTTCAAACCTATGATTGCGTTGGATAAAAACCGCAATTTTTATACGTGTGCATGCAAAACGAATTTCTTGGTAGAGGGATCTAAATACAGCACAAACAACATTTTCCAAAAGACCAAAAAAGTGAAAAAGTATATTTTAACAAAACGCATTTGACTAGCAGGTCGAACAACGGATGTTCTTAAACCCTGCTGACTGCCATTGTCGATTGCCAAATAAACGGATCACAAGATGTAACATAATGGATCTTAATTATTAATTTAATACAAAACAGAAAACAATAAACTTGCTGAAAAGATGGTATACCGCAAAGAAAAGGTGCAAAATTAGTACACCATATCCGGATTTCGACAATTAATGTCTCTCTATATATATATAACTACAATGTATATTGATGTATATCCCAGCTGGTGGAGTGATCAAGAGCGCTGGACACAGTGCAGGTAGAGTTGCCACGATGTCACATAAGCAAGGATTCTAATGCCGCTGAGGGAAGGACTAAATTTGCGAATGCAAATTTACTGATATCCGATGGAAAATTACTGTCATTAAGTTGCCACATGTTTAGACGTATATATATATATACAAGTCTTAATTGAAAACAACGTTCAAACCTATGATTGCGTTTGATAAAAACCGCAATTTTTATACGTGTGCATGCAAAACAAATTTCTTGTTAGAGGGGTCTAAATACAGCACAAACAACATTTTCCAAAAGACCAAAAAAGTGAAAAAGTATATTTTAACAAAACGCATTTGACTAACAGGTCGAACATCAAATGTTCTTAAATATATATATATATATATATATATATATATATATAGAAGTCTATAAAAAGGACCAACCAGCAAATTTACTATGTACCGGATCGTCTAGAATAGACGATACTGTGCAGATAAGGAAAAAATTATATAAGTCTAGAGATTTGCACAACGATACTAATATAAGATGGTATTATACGAAGATGTTGTTAATAAATCGTGTTGACAAATATTTCGGCTTAACAAATAGCCTTCTTCGGTGTCAATTATTTTAACAATACTGATAATATGTATAAAAATAGCTCAATAATACAGGTAAGTTTTGGTCTATTGATTTAATCCAAAATCCTGAACATCATAATATAAAACAAAACTCAATACTCAAATATACGTGACTGTGTATATTTACAACCCAAAATGAGTGAACAATAAAACTTAGTATTTTTTATTGATGCCGTTTGGATGATGTACATTTAGTTCCTTTATCCAAAAGCTTTCCCGAACCTGTCGCTGGGCATCACTCCAGTGAATGTTCTGTTCAATCACTAGGATCTTCATGCGGTTAAAGTCATCAAGTGTATGACCAGACTGTCTGAAATGCTGAGAAACTGGGAGAAGTGGCTTCTTAGAGATATCACTCCTATGGCCATTGAGGCGTTTGTGGAAAGGCTGCTTTGACTCACCAACATATTGGAGGCCACAAACCGAACATTCTAGAATGTAAATAACATTCATACTTTTGCAGTTAACATTGCAAAATATCTTATAGTTATTTTCGGTTGCCTTACTGTGAAAAGTTGATGAGTGATGCATCTGTAGGCAGCATTTGCAGCGTTTTTCATCACACGAACGACATTCTCCAGAAGTACTTCTATTATCAGACACTTCAGCCCGCACCAGCAGGTTACGCAGACTATTGGGTTGCCTAAAAGCTATCATGGGAGGCTCGGGAAAAATCTTGGATAGTTTGGAATTCTTTTCAACTGTTTTCCAATGCTCACGAATGACACCGATGCTGTTTTTGAGAGATGGGTGGTAAGTAAGAACACATGGAGTCCTTTTATTTTTATTTTTATATTTGTATTCTAACAGTTTACTCCTTGGAATAGTTTCCGCTTTCTGAAAGCCTTTTTGGATAGTTTTGTGTTTGTAGCCCCTTCTCTTCAAGCGGGTTTCGAGTTGACGTAGTTGTTTTTTTGTTGTTTCTGAGTTGGAACATATTCGCTTGACTCTGAGTTGTTTCTGAGTTGGAACATATTCGCTTGACTCTGAGTTGTTTCTGAGTTGGAACATATTCGCTTGACTCTGAGTTGTTTCTGAGTTGGAACATATTCGCTTGACTCTGAGTTGTTTCTGAGTTGGAACATATTCGCTTGACTCTGAGTTGTTTCTGAGTTGGAACATATTCGCTTGACTCTGAGTTGTTTCTGAGTTGGAACATATTCGCTTGACTCTGAGTTGTTTCTGAGTTGGAACATATTAATTGTGGCCTCCAATATGTTGGTGTATCAAAGCAGCCTTTCCACAAACGCCTCAATGGCCATAGGAGTGATATCTCTAAGAAGCCACTTCTCCCAGTTTCTCAGCATTTCAGACAGTCTGGTCACACACTTGATGACTTTAACCGCATGAAGATCCTAGTGATTGAACAGAACATTCACTGGAGTGATGCCCAGCGACAGGTTCGGGAAAGCTTTTGGATAAAGGAACTAAATGTACATCATCCAAACGGCATCAATAAAAAATACTAAGTTTTATTGTTCACTCATTTTGGGTTGTAAATATACACAGTCACGTATATTTGAGTATTGAGTTTTGTTTTATATTATGATGTTCAGGATTTTGGATTAAATCAATAGACCAAAACTTACCTGTATTATGGAGCTATTTTTTATACATATTATCAGTATTGTTAAAATAATTGACACCGAAGAAGGCTATTTGTTAAGCCGAAATATTTGTCAACACGATTTATTAACAACATCTTCGTATAATACCATCTTATATTAGTATCGTTGTGCAAATCTCTAGACTTATATATATATATATATATATATATAGTTTGTATTATATTTGCCTTCGGGTTTATATGATCCGTTCATCCTATTTTGACTCCTCAAAATTCAATAGTCTATCCTAAATTCAGGTAAATTGTATGGCTTTCAAAATAGCGTTTCGATTCCTAACATCACTGAAGAGGGATTAATTGTCGAAATCCGTATACGGTGTACAAAAACCTTTGCACCTTTTGTTTGCGGTATACAATCTTTTCCGCAAGTTTATTGTTTTCTGTTTAGTATTAAATTTATAATTCAGATCCATTTATTACATCGGTGATCCGTTTATTTGGCAATCGCCATTGGCAGTCAGCAGGGTTTAAGAACATTTGTTTTTCGACCTGTTAGTCAAATTCGTTTTGTTAAAATATACTTTTTCAACTTTTTTGGTCTTTTGGAAAATGTTGTTTGTGCTGTATTTAGATCCCTCTAACAAGAAATTTGTTTTTGCATGCACACGTATAAAATTTGCGGTTTTTATCCAACGCAATTATAGGTTTGAACGTTGTTTTCAATTTAGTTTGTGTATATATATATATATATATAAGTGCCTATAAATAGCAACACATGACATACAAATCTATGGGAGTGTGGATTAATCAGTACAGAGATTAATACAATTACACAAATAAAATTATAGATTGCCTAACAATGTAATTTTAACACACTATTTAGTATGTCAATATTAGAATGTTTAAAATATTTACAAAACGATAAAAATAAACGCAATATTTCGCTAGACCAACTAGCTTTATCAAGCGTGCATCTATCCAGGTGAAATCGGATGTAGATGATATGAAACTTTTGAAGCTCAATGTACATGTTGCACATGAATTTAACTGCCTTGTAAATATTACACAATTTGGATGAAGTTCAAGATTATATACAAAATTGGTGATTGAAGTTTGCAACGTCCATTGACCAATATTACAAGATAAAAAGGACGAAGCTGTGTACTAAATTATTCTTTATCTTTCCTGTATCTTTCTCTTCTTTTTCGTTAAGACCATCAGGTTCTAAAGTGTGCAGCTGGTGGATCCAAAAGTTTTCTCTTCTCCTTCTCGCCGTGGTGTCCCACTCGGTGTTGACTTCTATGATTTGGAAAGTAACATTATCAAAAGGATGTTTTTTTGTGCGAAGATGTCTTGTGAGAGGACAGTTTTTGTTGGTTTTGTACCATGAACGATGGTTATTGAGCCGAATATTGAATTTATCCATTGTTTCTCCAACATACTGAATGCCACAAGTGTTACATGTTAATATATAAATTGAGTAATAAATCGAAGGAATTGCTTATGTTGCAAAGCTGCCAATACAAGCAGTTCTTTCCTCAGCTCCGTCACTAAACAAAGTTATACCATCTACTCAAATTCCAACTGTAAAACGGAGAACTCAATGTATTTTTTATACGTGTGCATGAAACAATTTCTTGGTAGATGGGTCTAAATACAGCACAAACAACATATACAGACAAAATAGCTGATCTGAAAGATACACCATCTACTTGCCACTATACATCATGTACTGTGTTACAACCCTAGAAAAAGCCGACGAGGAAAGGCATTACATCGACCACCGAAAGCAATATTTTTATGTTGTCTAGGTGGTTGAGTGGTCTAGGGCGCTGGGCACGGTGCAGGTGGTGTTGCCACGATGTTACAGAAGCAAGGGTTCGAATCCCACTGAGGGAAGAACAAAAATGTGCTAACGCAAATTTGCAGATGTAACATTGTCGGGCTAAATTTGAGACGAGTAATATATATATTATGGTGTTAGCCCTGTATAACCACGTGTTATCTGATGGAAATGTCTGTCATAAGGTTGTCACATGTTTAGACGTGTATCATAAAATTAAAATTTGATGTGGCGGCATGGTAATTTACATTATCATCCTTCACGACAGACAAAATAGCTGATCTGAAAGGTACACCATCTACTTGCCAATATACATCATGTACTGTATTGCAACCCTAGATAAAGCCGACAAGGAAAGGCATAACATCGACCACCGAAAGGAAAGCTATATTTTTATGTAGCCTAGGTGGTCGAGTGATCTAGGGTGCTCGACACGGTGCAGGCGATGTTGCAACGATGTCACAGAAGCAAGGGTTTGAATCCCGCTGAGGGAAGAACAAAAATTTGCAACATTGTTGGGCTAAATTTGAGACGAGTTATATATATATATATATATATATATATATATAGATTGCCTAACAATGTAATTTTAACACACTATTTAGTATGTAAATATAAGAATGTTTAAAATATTTACAAAATGATGAAAATAAACGCAATATTTCGCTAGACTAACTAGCTTTATCAAGCGTGCATCTATCCAGGTGAAATCGGATGTAGATGATAAGAAACTTTTGCAGCTCAATGTATATGTTGCATTACGTTTGATTTATACATTTTATTATACATTGAGCTGCAAAAGTTTCTTATCATCTACATCCGATTTCACCTGGATAGATGCACGCTTGATAAAGCTAGTTAGTCTAGCGAAATATTGCGTTTATTTTCATCATTTTGTAAATATTTTAAACATTCTTATATTTACATACTAAATAGTGTGTTAAAATTACATTGTTAGGCAATCTATAATTTTATTTGTGTAATTGAATTAATCTCTGTACTGATTAATCCACACTCCCATAGATTTGTATGTCATGTGCTGCTATTTATAGGCACTTATATATATATATATATATATATATATATATATAAAAATATATATATATATATATATATATATATATATATATATATAAACAAGTCTAAATTGAAAACAACGTTCAAACCTATGATTGCGTTGGATAAAAACCGCAATTTTTATACGTGTGCATGCAAAACAAATTTCTTGGTAGAGGGGTCTAAATACAGCACAAACAACATTTTCCAAAAGACCAAAAAGTGAAAAAGTATATTTTAACAAAACGCATTTGTCTAGCAGGTCGAACAACGGATGTTCTTAAACCCTGCTGATATATATATATATCAGATATAAATATATAGTTTAAAGAAATATAAGGGAATGTTTGGTTTCTCATTATTTGCTATGATATGCAATAGATATAAATTATAATTACAATAAAACAGGATTATGTCAAAGAAGAAAAACAACTGTGATCTTTCAAACGTATCAATCGTTATCTACGTTACTTTTGAGTCAAATAGCTCTTCAACTGTTTCGGTTCTTATACATCTTTGGCTTTCAAATAATCGGTTTTGATGAAGTTAAATCCGGAAAGCACTTCGGACGCATGACATTTATAACGTGTTGTTTCCATTTTTCACTTCTTATATATAATGAAAAGTCATTTGTCAATTTAATGTATAATGGAAAGTGTATTGTCACTTGCATGTACTTCTGCATTACCTAATCAAATTAAGATTAATTCGAGTTGATTTTGCCTAGACACATGTTAACAGATATAATCAACAAAAGTAGATCTTCATTAAAAAGAAAACGAATCTTCAGATGAATTTATAAATTTCAATGAGAGAATATCGCCCGGCCGCAGCAAATCCTTAAAAGGCTTTCAGACGTCAGAGCAATCTTGGATAACCAGTTAATGTTCAGTAACACTTTGAAAATATATATCATGATTAGTCAAACACCTATGTTTTTATTTTTTAGTATCCTTAATATTATCATTTATAACATTAACGGTACCAATTTTTCTGCACCAAATATAAGTTATTCGGTGATAGTATTTACTTTCTCTATGGTTTTGCTAATTGTATTGTATAACCATTGGCAGATTTTTTTTTCATTTTAAAGTTCTCGGTATAAAATGACGATATTTTGGCTTTTGAGAACTGCTGTGGACAGATGTAAAAAAAAACACTCAGTAATACGAAATATTAACATTATACGAGAAAAAAATACATAAAAAATGCCTGGCAATATTTCTGTGCAAAGACTCGAACTAAATATTTTTTTTATAAAAATGTTAGAATATATACATTCCAATAGGCCATAATTCACCACACTTAAAAATAACTTATACTTTATCGTTATCTATATTTATGATATTATCTTCAAAATTTCTTGAAATTATTCACAATCATACAAAGTTTGTTATTGGAATAGATCGGTGTGCCTTATAACATATTTTTAAAAAAGATGCAATTTAAAATTCTAATAAGATGAAATATTAGAAAGAAAAACTACTCACCAATAAACATTCCATAAACAGATGAATACATCATGAGATAAACTTTACTATCATTAAGTGGGTTCAATACATTAGCAGTTCCACAAATGACCAGCGATATGCCGTAAAGCAAAAGCCGATTTACACACTTTCGATCTGCAATCCATCCGAAAATAATACGTCCAAATGTATTTGAAATGCCAATAATCGAAAGTAGAAATGCACTATCAAACTGGTTCATACCTTTTTCCTCGGCTCTATCTGGTAAATACACATATGGAGTATTAAATCCAAGGGCGGTGAAGTAATTCGACACAACAAATATGGTAAATGCCGGGTTTGTTAATAAACCAAAGTCAAAATGTTTAGAAAAGCAGCTGGACACAGAATTGGTAGAAGGGTCTGGTGATGTAGTTGATTTCGTTTTTAAAGCTTGTAAGCCTTCATCTTTGTTTTTCACAATCGAAAATATTTGCTTACTTGTCATCGATGCTTCTTTTATGTCGATTTCATCTTCTACAATTGATAAATCAATTGCTTCGTTCTTGATTACTGACTTGTCCGTCGTTTTCCCACTTTTGTTTTGAACCGGTCGAAAGAAAGCGCCACACAAAACTATGTTCATTATGAACCCTGCTTCCATTAGAATTGCACCTCGCCAACCATATTCGTCTATTAGAATACGCACAACTGGAGCAAAAACAAATGTTCCTACTCCTGAACCACTAACAGATATACCTAGAGCAAATGATCGTCTCTTTTCAAAATGTTGTCCAACACATACTAATGTGGATAAAAATATACCACCAAATCCTAAACCTTTAAAAAAAAAACATTTTACGTTGTTTTACTCTTTGAAATGAAGGTCTGAAAAAAAGTATATTTAACAAATATTTTATCTAAACCATTCTTTACTTGCGAAGTCACTACTGCATATAGTTTACATATGTAGGTAAAAAAAAAGAAGAAGATGTGGTATGATTGTCAATGAGACAACTATCCACCAGAGTTCAAATGACGAAGATAAAGGCAATTTTTGGTCACCATACTGCCTTCAACAATGGGAAAAAACCCATAAAAGTCCCTGACAGGAAAAATGGAAAACAATTAAAACAAGAAAAGCAACGGCCTACTTTATATATATATTTATATATTGATTATCTAAACTACGAAATAAAACCTTTAAAATTGTTTCAACTTGCCTCCAGTTAACGTTTTACAACTAATCTTTATGTGCTTTGAACTAGCTCCATAACCACTGTCATGAACTTGTCATTAACGTTTGTTATAAACCATATGGATGTAATGAAAACAATTATTTTTTGTAAACATTTCTTTTCCTATTTAATTGAATAGTCATTTCAAAAATGTGATTGCAAATCTATTTGCTGCAACTCATATAAATCCTTCTGTCTGTAATGAAAAAGGTTAAGATGCTATATATACTTACTGAAAATGTGAGGAGATGATTAAAGTTGTTAATTTTCTACTTGACGATGTCTACGTTTTGGTAATTAAGTTTATCGACAAATTCTATGTATTTCTATGGGCACAATTTGCAACCCCTTATATGTCGACGTGTTCCTGTATTTTTATGATTCTCAGTTTGTGGCCAAACTCATTAAAGACACGTGTAAATTTCATTTAATTGATAAATCCAACAAACACTTACCGGTAAATTGATTATATTTTTTTGTTAAATAATGAAAAATTCTCTAAACATTCTGCCGAAATTAACCTAAAGGAACTTCCGTTTGATTAATCAAATATAAACAGCAATTATTACTTTCCTTTTCTAGATTTAGAAATTACAGTTTCATACGGGGAACTCTGTATAAAATTTACGACAAAAGCGATAATTAATCGTTCCTTATTGTTATTTTTTTTTACGATGATGTTCCTTTGGTCAATCTTACGGTGTTTATATATCCCAACTATTTCGCCATTCCCATGCATGTATTGTCGTTTTAGATTTCATTGGCGTAATCTTTGTATCACTGGTAAATCAAGAGCTAAGTGAACTCGTTACTACAAACTTTTTAAATTAAAACCTCATATAAATTCTTTCATAGATACACATATTTGCTTTGGAAGTGTAAACTATACGTCTGATACTTAAGTAAAGTATAAACGATTTTCTCCAGAAAAAAAAATATCCGTTTTTCCATTGTAGTCTTTTTTTAACAATAAAACAGTATATTTTTTATAAATTATTAATTAAACAACAAAGATAATTAACAGAATAAAAATAAAAGATATTTCACCAAACCTTAGGAAAGGCAACTTCAATAATAAAGCGTAATACTAACGTAACCTTTTTCCTGTAAACAAATAACAGATTCAACAATCATGTCATTAGGCTGTATATTTTGCCTGAATAATAATACAGCTTAAATCACATCTTAGTCATCCACGAGACAAATTATTCTGACGTCAAATAATAGCTTCCTTTCTGCTTGATAGATAAGAAAAATCAAGAAGCATTGTTGTTCTTCATACCACCACTATAAAATCATATTGTACTGTGTAATGATATTTTTTAGAAACTTGTAAATCATTCGTTTATTTCAAGAGGATCTTTAACAGGTTATATGTCTGTTCTTCCTATGAAGTCTAAAACTAAGTAAAATAATCTAATTCACTGTCATGATTATGGTATAGATTTTAAACGCTATCAATATACGAATAGATCTCCATACTTTCTCTCTGTCCTAAATCCCACATAAACAGAAAGATTAATGGAATACCTACCCTTAAGTGAACTTAGCTGTATTTGGGGAAAACTCTCGGATTATGGGTCCTTAATGCTCTTCAACTTTGTACTTTATTTTTTTTTTTTTTTTTTTTTTTTTTTTGCCATTCGAGCGTCACCGATGAGTTTTGTAGACAATACGCGCGACTAGCGTACAAAATTATAATCCTGGCATCTTTGGTGGTTTTTATTATACCATTTCATTGCAGGATTTTGTCTCAAAAATGTTAATCACATTTTTCTTACAATTGTTAGTTCTCTACGAACTAACTTAGTCATGCCTATTTGCAAATTGGAAATCATTTTTACAGCTGCTATTCATCTAATGTTGATAAAATATATTTTGTTTCTCATTTACCTGTTAAAATTCCAAGTGAACAGTACAAATAATATATACTGGTAGCAAAACAGCTAATAACAAATCCAGCGGCAGCTACAAGAGCACCTAATATGCACATTGATCGACACCCAAAACGGTTAGTCAAAGCTCCGGTAATTGGTCCTATTAAAAGAGAAGAAAATTTAAAAAAACGATGAACTAGTAGATTTGGTTTAATTGTTTTAAGTATAAGGTAAATTTATACATTTTTTTCTGGATATGAGCGATTAAACATGATGAAGATTAATTACGAATTTAACTAAAGTACCTTTTCAAAACAAATTTGACAACCGATTGCGTTATTATGTCTCAGTCGTAACAATCTTAAACCTTTAAGACAGATTTAAGCTGAGCATTTTGCATTAATTCCTGTCATCTGATACACAATTTTAACCACATCAAAAAGCTATTGTACATTTTTTACCACAAAAACTTTAAAATATGAGAAGAAAACAACACTTTCGTTCCTTTTTGTTAGTTATGTGATTATTGGGCAAGATTTATGTATGATTATCATTAACATAAACAAAGCTAAATGTATATAATCCATATAAAGTAACACATGAAAAAGGAAAGACAAGTGCTGGATTGGGAGCATATCTTTTTTGGAACTAAAACGTTTACTTGTTTTGTGTTTTGTGTTAGTTTGAGTCAGGGGTTCCAGCAGGAATACTCTCACTGCAATGTTTTATTTTTTTAAATATTATTTTGTTAAAATTCTTTTTCGTACCTAAACTACAAAAACAAAACATGAAAGAATAATAAATCAATGTACAGATCTCATATTATCTTAAACTACTATGTATGCATCCCACGCCATGTGAATCCACACTCAGTCGAAATGTAACAATCTGGACTAGGATTCAACGGTAATTTCAGATCAGGACCTCAAAGATATGTTGTTAGTACGATTGGACACAGACGCGTCTTACCGGTCACTTTTTCAGATTCGTTTTCAGCTGTTCTTCCTTATAACTCATAACATAACATGTTGTTGCAGTTTTTGTATCAGAAACGCACCCCTATTAATGATGTCCTTAAATATGACGATGCACGGGCGTAACCTAATAAATGAGATATGTACACACCATAGAATGGGATAGAGGGTATAAAGTAAAGGCAACTGCAGTTAATCGATGTTCAAATCTCATAAATCCTTTAAAAAAATAATATTTAAGGTAAAAAAAAAAACTTCGAGAATCGCATGAACTGCAAAAGGAGCGAGACCGGGAGCGAGACGGGATAATCATCGTGTGCTATTAATGAAACACCCGCGGTTTTATACTTCTGAAAAATAGGCAGTTGACTTTTTAAAAGCTGAAATCATCATGTTTTTCATAGCTTCTTTTCTGCAGTCGTCCATCTGTAACTATCGAGGAAAATATAAGATATGAAGCAAACCTTATTATTTCGGAAGTATCCTCAATATCAAGTTTACAAAGATATATTAATTGCAAACACAAACTTCAATGTGCGTTCTTGAGTATATTGAGTGACAATATTTTATCAGTATATAAGTAAAGTTTAACAACTTAGCAAAAAGTAAAATCACAAAAATACTGAACTCCGAGGAAAATTCAAAAAGGAAAGTCCCTAATGAAATGGCAAAATCAAAAGCTCAAACACATCAAACGAATGGATAACAACTGTCATATTCCTGACTTGGTACAGGCATTTTCTTATGTAGAAAAGGGTGGATTGAACCTGGTTTTATAGCTAGCTAAACCTCTCACTAGCAAGATACTTTTTTCATTTTTATACGCCCGTCAAAATTTTGACGGGACGTATTATGGTATACAAATGTCGTCTGTCCGTCTGTCTGTCCGGCGTAAACATATAGCACCGTAACTTGAGAACGACTTATCCAAATTTCATGAAACTTAATATAGTTGTTTCTTATGATGGTCAAACGATCTATATACTTTTAAGTGAAAATAAGATTAAAACTTTTTCAGTTACGGGACTTAGTAACTAAAACAGGTGTGTGTTTTTTTTTCACATGTTGCGCCGTATCTCAAAAACAATTTATGAATATTGCTTAAAACTTTACACACTTCTTAGTTATATTAATCTTAAGATCTGTATACTTTTTGGTGATGAATCTAAATTTTATTTTTGGGTTATTGAGTATTTTTGTAAAAAAAAAAAGGGGAAGGGGTTTTTCACATGTCGCGCCGTATCTCAAAAACGATTTATGATTATTGCTTAAAATTTTACACACTTCTTAGTTATATTAATCTTAAGATCTGTATACTTTTTGGTTTTGATTCAAAATTTTATTTTAGAGATATTGAGTTTTTTTTTTTTTTTAAAAGGGGGGGGGGGGGGGTTTCGCATGTCGCGCCGTATGTCAGAAACTATTTATGATTATTGCATAAAAATTCACACACAAGACGACGGGCGTATCATGCGCACATGGCGCAGCTGTTTATTTTTTTCTTTGAAAAGTTTTGGTTGAATTTTGCATTATATAATTACAAAACAATCTAGCCAGTAGGGGTGTACAGTATACTAAGTACCCATCGGAACACTAACACTCTGCTGAAAAACCAAAATTGAAGGACCTTAGCTGAAATAAAAACTTTTCAACTTTGAAGTGACTGGTGATAAGCTTGGGTTTGATATTCTTTCTGATATTCATGTTCTTATGCAGTACGTTAAATCACAACCGTATTTACGTTATTACTTCTATAAAGATACACATATGTCATATATAACGTACATCAAACATTTAGTTGCTTTTAGGAGACAGTTTGAAAGAAAGTGTTTATCTAGTATTTGAAAAGTTTTCGACTATTGCTAAGTAATTGCATTACATGAGTTGAGTTACCGTTTATCTTCAATATTTAAATATTTGTATGTGAGTGTGAAAAAGGTCGTCAACTTTCTCCAAAATAAGCATGAGGAGACTTGCATTGAACTGCATATAAGCTTATGGTTCTGACATTCTACAATTACATTCTTAAGTATCTCAAACAAACAAAATATAACGTCAAGTTTGATGACCAATAAAACATAAATTTAAATATTCCAATTACAATCTGCTATAAATGTCATTTGATTGGTTTAAATGAAATGTTTCAAATATTTGCCATAATCTCCAAAATAATTTTGGTTTGTTTCTTTCTTTGGCTAACAGTTTCCATAAAAAAGCATTAATAAGCAAAGGTCGAACACAAGAACGTCAAATTAGCCTGTAGGTAAAAAACAATGAAAATCAAATGAGAAGACAGGAGCACCCAAATATGTATGGTTATACTGCTATAAAAAGTCACTAGAGCACTTTGACCCAAGCTCTTCAACTATTTCAAATATTCGGCTTTGAGGATTCCTGATGAAGGTAAATCCAGAAAAAGGATTCAGACGCATGCAATCAATAACGTGTTGTTTTCATTTTTTTACAGCACTGGGTCGATACCTCTTCGGTACTGATATGATGTATAACAAGCCTTTCTTAAGTCGTCTGTTTATAAATTTTTAAATTACAAAGAAACTAAGTGTTCAACTCCCTCAGGCAAATTTGACCTTAGATGGATTTGGCTATTTGTATGGTACTTTTTGGTCATATACAGTTTAGAGCAGACCAAGCATGACATTAATTAAACGCACGTTAACGCCGCGTGCACATATTTAATTTTTTAACTCCAATTTTCGCTTTTCGGCTTTCAAATATTCGACTTTGAGCGTTCCTTATGAAGGTTAATCCAGAAAAGCGCTTCGGATGCATGAAATTAATAACGTGTTGTTTCCATTTTTTCAACGGTTTCACAGGAGTTGCGATAACAATCAAAATTTAAAATTTGAACAGGACTTTGACATTTGCCCTAGGCCTTAATTGCCTGATATGGACCTAGGACCTCATATCAGAAAACTCTATTTTCCTATGACATACGATTTATTAGTTGCCAACAAATATCGTGAGCCTACAAAGGTCTCGATGGCGTCAACTTAGGCAATATTCTTCATCATTAACTAGTTCAGTCGAAAACACCTCCTTATTTTAAAGATCAGTTTGTACCAATAATTTCTTATACCTATACCAAACAAATTGCAACTAAAATTTTCAATTACAAACACGTTTTGCAGGATCTTAACATTGACGATTTCAAGTCTAAACCTCCTGATTGCACCTGTGCTAGTTCCCAATTCACATAAAATCCGGCTGGCCACGTTATTACTGGAGACCTCAACATTGTCAATAACACTTCCCTGCGAAATTTGTTATCCAAAGGTCCGAAATATCGTGAGCCTAAATCCATCAATTGCAAATACAACTTCAAAATACTGATGGATTCAGTCGAGGATTATACCAGGCAATGGGCTAAATGCGAGAAAGAAGACGTAGATACTCTTTCCGAATGGATTAAGGGTATGAGGTCGTTGATACAAATCCGAATAAGAAACTAAATGGGACTATCAATACCCACGCTACGTCAATTTTTAAAGACCCAAATGTTGCAAAACACATGTCCTACCTCCATGACAAATATGTTGTTGTCCCCGCAGATAAAGTCCAAAACAACATCGTTTTTCTGTGTAAATATCATTACATAAACCGCTTGATCAATGAATTAGGTATTGACAATTCACTTGGAAACTCAACATATACCCTCATGACACTTACCAAAGAGGAAATCCTGAATAATCATAGGTCTGTTCTATGTTCCATCACTGTATTGGATACCTAAACTACATAAGTGTCCTTACAAACAACGGTATATTGCTGGGTCTACCAAGTGCTCCACGAAATCTCTTTCTAAGTTATTAACATCTATTTTATCAGCAATCAAAGCCGGAATCAAAGTTATTGTAAAACTGCCTATTCTAGAGGTGGCGTGAATCAGATGTGGATACTAAAAAATTCCAAAGATCTTTTAAAGTACATACAATCTAAGACTCTCTCATCTTGCAATAGTATTAAAACATTTGACTCCTCTACACTTTACACAAGTATTCCCCATTCAAAACTAAAAGACAAATTGAAAGAGTTGGTATTACTTTGTTTCATTAAAAAGAATGGCGAACGTAGATACTAGTATCTTGTCTTGGGGAGGGATAAATCCTATTTTGTAAAGAATCATTCTGATTCAAACAAAAAATTCTCTGAAACTGACATTATCAAAATGCTTGATTTCTTGATTGACAACATATTTGTTACGTTTGGAGGACGTGTTTTTCAACAGACTGTCGGAATTCCAATGGAACCAATTGTGCCCCTGTTCTTGCCGACTTGTTTCTTTATTATTATGAGGCTGACTTCATACAGGAACTTCTTAGAAAGAAAGATAAGAAGCTAGCAATATCCTTTAACTTTACGTTCCGCTATATAGATGATGTTCTCTCACAAAATAATACAAAATTTGGTGACTATGTTGAACGAATCTATCCCATCGAACTAGAGATAAAGGATACTACAGATACAGTTAAGTCTGCCTCATATCTTGACTTACATCTAGAAATTGACAATGAGGGTCGGTTGAACACAAAACTTTACGACAAAAGAGATGATTTCAGCTTCCAAATTGTGAACTTTCCATTTCTATGTAGCAACATTCCAGCAGCGCCTGCATACGGAGTATATATCTCCCAATTGATACGATATTCCAGGGCTTGTATTTCCTATCATGATTTCCTTGATAGAAGATTGCTGCTCACAAGGAAGCTAGTAAACCAAGCGTTCCAAATGATGAAGTTGAAATCATCCCTTCGTAAATTTTACGGACGCCATCACGAGTTGGTTGACCGTTATGGAATAACCGTTTCACAGATGATATCGGATATGTTCCTTATGTCGTAACTACAATACCCTTCCCTTTTCACTAATGTGACCTACCGAGTTAGACTATTTACAGGATTTGTAATAACATAAGCAACACGACGGGTACAACATGTGGAGCAGGATCTGCTTACCCTTCCGGAGCACCTGAGATCACCCCCAGTTTTTGGTGGGGTTCGTGTTGCTTAGTCTTTAGTTTTCTATGTTGTGTCATCTGTACTATTATTTGTCGGTTTGTCTTTTTATTTTTGGCCATGGCGTTGTCAGTTTGTTTTCGATCTATGAGTTTGACTGTCCCTCTGGTATCTTTCGTCCCTCTTTTGTACTGACAGCTCATTTATGTCAAACGCAAAAAAAGGAAAAAAATCTTATTACATGTAACCGGGTCGCTTTGGTCTAAATTTTACAGATCATCCTGAGGAAGATGGAAGTTGGAAACAATCTGAACGATATCTTTCCCAATTTCTGAGGAGAAGCGATGCGGTGAGATAAATCCCAAATGGCAAAGTGTTTGATCAAACAGGTTGAGTTTCATGAACGCGATAACTGTTCGATATCATATACCAAATAAATCATCTACAAGTTGCAAAACAAAGCGACATTTCAGAAAACAAGTGGTGTAAGAAAAACTTAATTTAAAACCAATTGTCCTCTAGTTGAAAGTCTGTCGGACCTGAAAATTCCAAGTCTCGAATATGTAGGATTAAAAGTATTCCTACCAAACAGCTTATTTTGAATAAGTCACGTTATCAGTTTCTGAGGATACAATAATAGTAAAAGTTGACCTAGACCTTTTACATTTACACCAATTTCCTGCTTAAGCATCAATGACCTCATATCAAAAGACTCAAAGTCACTATGAGGTATAGTTTATGAGTTACAGGGACACATCATTTATGTCTAACATAAAAAAGAAAATGAGGATCTGATTTCATGTAACTGGGTCGTTCTGGTTCCAATTTAACCGATCAACCTGATTAAGGATGTTCGCTCCTCTCGTTTTTGAATTTTTGCCAGATATTCGGAATCCTCAGGTTTTATCCATGTAGTGGAAAAATTTTGCCCACTAACCCCTACTTTTCGTTTCATAATTTGATTACATATAGTTTAAAATGCCATCTTTAAAAATCTTATTAAATCCTTGTTATTTTTTCATTCTCTTTGACAGAAAAAAGGTGCAAATGTTAAATGTATAAAAAATCTAGAGAGAATCATTTCCCGCTAAATTTTCAATGGCATATATCTCGAAAACAAGCACACGGACCCTTGATTTGTTTCTACTTTTATAGTTCCTTTATTTATATACCATCAATTTATAACAGTCTTTTTAAAAACTTGTTATTTTGAAACAGAGGAGCGAAGTATCGAAAAATATTTAGAGAAAAAAATTAACCGATATGGTTTACTGTTTCAGAGTAGAAGGGATAACAAGAAAAATATTATACGAGGAGATAACTCCCGTATGCATATGTCGTTGGTTGAACAGGATTGGGGTTTAAAAACACTATGACTATTCGATATCATATATCAAATATCTTATCATCGTGTTTCGACAGAATTGTGGAATGGCCTTGTTAATTCAACAAATAGGTTAACCAAGGTACGTCGACCGGGATTACAAGAGAGAAATTAGAACTGATACTGGTAAATGGTGGTTTGTTTGATAGGGACAGAAATTTTGCCCTGAAGTAGGTCACTTACACACTCTTCAAAGAAATGTTGCACGGGTTCTTTTATGTGCATTGTATTGACTGTCCGATTCTGACCGGAAATGGTTTCGTGTTTATATATCCCGCATAGCAAAACACGGACGTCCAATTAAAGCAAGGGTTTATTACCGGACGGACGAGGTTAAGGTATGACCATATTTCTATACCCAAGTCAAAAAGGGAGGTGTGTAATAGCAAAGATTCAATCGTCTCTTTTGTCGTTTATCTTAGTTTCCTTTCCCCCCATTTTGTAACAATACAGGTATGTCATCACTGTTGATTGTTATGAATAGTTTTACCAAATAGAAGTTCTTTTTGGGATAAATACACTTGCATTGTTAAATCAACTAAGGGTTATCAACAATAATGAAGTAATGAAGGATGTCAGAATTTTAAAATAATTTTCGTTTCTGAAGTTTTCCCAATAAAACAGGATAGAAAGATCTACAATCTAGGTTGCAGTGCCCATTTCGATTCCAATAATTTGACAATATAAAATATTGCCATAACCAACAAAAAATTGTCAAGTAGGAAATAAAAAACCTTTAATTTGTTTGTAATTTTCAGAACAATGATTTTATATCTAGTAAGACTAAACAAAAACCCAGCATAGGTAACAAAGATGAATTTAAGCCCAGACATTTTCCCTGAGAAGTACCTTTGAAGCTATAAAAATTAGTTACACGCGTCTATTTTTTAATGTCAAAATCACTTGACTCAATTATCAAATTCAATCTGGGAAAACTATTAGTTTCATCCATTGCCAATTTGTATACTTCGCATATGTACCACTTGTTTAAAACAATGTGATCGCATTGCATTTTTTTCATTTACATACATATGCAATTTTTCAAATGTGCACAGTAACGTACACGTGTACATTTTCTCAGTGAGAAAGGTGATAAAAAAACAACCAACACGTGGTTTAGATAGCCTGACTCGGTATGTAGTTGAATGAAACATGTGTGAAAACAAAAACAACATTAGTCTTTTTACACTTACCTACTGTTAGCATAGTTCCTGGAATAAGGGAGGTAATCCAAGCGGTTTTTCCCTTTCCTTTCTCAAATTCATCTAGAAATTCGATATATAATACTCCAAGTGTAAATAACACTCCATCAGCTAGCACATGAGCCATGAAAGCAGAAGCAACAATAACCCATCCCCAACCGCCATCTTTGCTATTCTCTTGGGTGATCGTATTTGTTCTAGTAACGCTGCTTTCTTCCTTTTGTTTCTCCATACTTCAAAACATGATCATCTCACCAGTTTTATGAGCAATTTAACCTAATTAGTTATGACTCCTATTTTTGGTGGTTTTATAATAATGCGAAGTAGAAACTGTGTTTAAACGCTAATGACATAATAGTGATTCGTTTTCGTAAAATGATTTAAAGACTTACGGTGCATAAGTACGTTTTGTAATTTTTCATAACCTAGCTTCTGTTTTGAAAATAAATATTAAGCAACAATGGTCATAAACATGTGTTCGCCACCTGGCAATGTATTGTATAACCGGAGTGTTGCCTGAATACAGCATGCAGCTGTTAAATTCAGACAGGTATGTCAACTCATTTTGTAAAAAAATCAGTATTGTTCGATGTAGGAAGGAATGACGACCTTTTTGTTTCTGTCGGAAAGCACGGGAACGTGACAGACAACTTATCTTGTTTTAGACAAAATATGCATGCGTGCTTTTGGATACAAATTTCTTTCAACAAAATGATTTTATGCATTTAAATTTTAAAAAGTTAATTAAATTCTCTTATACGTGTAAGAACATATCGTAAACATGAAAAATTCTTGATCACCTCAGATATATTAAAATACAAAATAATATCTTTCGTATTAACAGACACAATGACGAGGTATTTGATTCACCAGACATGCAATCATCTTGCTATACAGTAGCAACATCTAACATTACTGTTCGTATTCAGAAAAAAAAACATTTCTAAATTGAATTGATGGATTCATAGATGAGAGTAACAGGAACTAATATCCCCTAGAAAAATATCACCTCACAATCGGCATACTAGATGTCCTCTATTTATTCTAGGATTGAATGGCCGAGACTACAGTGGATACTTAACTTTTTATAACTTTATGTACATAAAAAGTACTCTCTGTTGAAAAATATTCAAGAAAATCTGTGAATTTCTTACGTTAACTGGTCCATGTATACCGCATGTAACAATGTAAACAGCTTGATAGTTTTAATTTCTTGTGTTATTTTCCATGCCTCATGTAGTAACCTTATACTGAACTATTAAAACGTAATGTCTGAATCTGTAGAAATTTACGCTACTGTGGTTAACCTTTCAAATTGTTTATTTCACTTCATACATATCTATTTTGAAAGTTTAAGGTTATCAGTGAATCTAAATTTCTCAGTCTTCGCCCTTTGTTTTAATTGTTGAAAACCGTTTTTTCTGATGATTTGCACGGCGTTGAACGCTGAAAAAATAAACTTACTAACCGACTAAATTACAACAAAAGCAATTATGATTATATTATTAACTTACATTTTTTTTCTGAGCTTCCCTCTTTATTTTTCCTTTTACACAAATACCTTTAAACTGACCAATAAATGTATTTATAAGGTCAAGATTTTAATATATTCACGCATGGTCCAGTTATTTCTGAATCACTTTAACTAGTTTAGTTTAAACATATTTAATTGTACAAAACAAATGGATTAGATACAAGTTTTTCAACTTACTTCCGTCTTTTCCATAATATACATGAATATACATTATATTTACATTGCACATTACATAAATTTGTAATTTTCTAATAAGCATGAAGGCATGAAAAATAATTAAATAAATAACATTAATTGTTATTACAATATTTATAAACAAGAAAATAAATCACTTTAACTGTAATGAAAAATTAAATATGATGGTTTACCTAAGGTTTGACAGTATACAATCCAAACTGTGGCATTACACAATCAAAGTGACCAACGAAAGTTGACACAAGATTAACTTTTGCATTTAAAAATTGTATAAGAAGGTAAATTGTATCGGATCGGTATAGAGTTAATCCTCCGTTTTCAATTTTAACATAGGTTGAATTAAATTGCATTGTTAATGTTTATATCAATTAAATAGTTAGAACATTTTACATGATCCACTGCAATATTTTTATCCTAGTCAATAAGTGTGTCAGTAAACCAGACAGTTCATCGTTTTGTTTTGGGCATGTATATTGTGCATATTAGTAAATGGTAGGCCTTTTTGTAAATAGACAACCACATCTGCGGTTTTCTAGCATTTAGTAATGGGAAAAACTATTATTCCATTTTCATGTAATACTCTTGACTCATGTTGAGCGTTGTGATAAAGCGAAGGCGGTGTTAGTTAACAACTATTATATTCTGATGGGGTGTGGGAAGGCTGTACAAATGTCATATTAACTATTGTATTATTTCTTTGTTTTATATTGCAAAGTGAGCCGTCATTTGCATTTTTTAAATTTGATTCTAATAATGTCCATTACATGTGGTATATCCTTATCTAGTGAACGAAAACAGATATTTGAACATAATGAAATAGTTAAGCTAGTAGTCTCAAACACTATAAAACAACCAATATTGAATAAAAACCCCGTAGTGTCATTGGATTGTAAACATTTCTCATTTCGAAATTGACATTTCTGAGTTCAAGCTACTTATTTCTAAGTGCGAATGTAAAATTGGAGATTCATTTCCAACTTTACTTTTCTCAATTCCTATTTGACATTTCTCAATTCCTTTTTGACGTTTCTCAATTTCTTTTTGACATTTCACAATTTCTATTTGATATTTTAACATTTCCTTTTTTTTTAACGACATTATATATTTAATTACCAAATATGCTTGTTACATTGTTACATCAAGAGTCCAACCTTTTCTTGATGTATCCTGTAATATTCTACTGATAACCCAAGTTAGTAATCAGCTGTTGATATGTATGTATATAAACATTTCCTAGTTCCTCTTTATTATTGCTCAGATTAAAATTGACATTTCTGACTTTGAAGTTGACATTTATCAATTTCAACTTGATATTTCTGACTTCCTACGAAATGTCGAAATGCAAACTGAGTAATCTTGAATTGGAACGAAGAATTGTCATATCGAGACTAAGAAATGTCAAATTGACAGTGATTAATATCAATATTGCAGTTGAGAAATGCAAAAATGATCATCGACAAGACCTACAAATACTTCACATGGCCGAAATTGTCCGACGATTCCTTTTTTGAGTTTTTGCTCTCTGATTTTTACCGGTTTTGTCTTATATTTAAAAAAAATAATAAAAAAGATAGATTTAAACTTAAATAAGCAAAACTTATCAGCAAGACAAGATGTACTTGTTAGTCTAATGACCAAAATCGTAATTTCAGTGTAGTATTCTTTTTTCATGATGAACCTTTTATTTTTGACATAATTGTCTGATATTAACATACTTGATTATATCTCTTTGCTTTTAAATTGATTATATTTTTAAACTATTGTTTTGATGTCTTTTCAAAATTAAAGCCTTTTCTTTTCAATTAATCAGTTAGAGAAATACAAACTAACATAACACTCTCTAAATTAACTCACGTATGCTCACTACTAACTTTCTGTTTTTGAATTTGCATTAGTTTAAATAAATGTTATTCTAACCTCTAAACTGTAGAATATAAAATTAACCTAAATTTTACACCGAAAAAGACTTCACTAAATTGCTGATGTATGAAATAAAATAACAAAATTTATTAAATCCAAGTAAAATAGATGACATTACAATCATTTGAAAATACTAAGACATTTTTTCTCTATAGAAATCCTCTATAGGGTCCCTTATTTTTATAAGGGGGGGGGTGTACTCAAATATTTTCACAATCTTTCAAAATCGTAGATATCAATCGTCTTTACGTTCAAAAAGAATCTTAAACTGGACACTTGAAGCTGTGATATTGTGAATTTATGTATAGAAAGTCCTTCTAAAAATGTCCTTTATATATTTAGTGTCCAGTAAGTACAGCGACAATTATATACTATTTTAAAAAAGCTGATAAACCAACCACACACGTTTGCATGCCCTCATTATTAATGAAAAAAAGTATAAGAAAACACGCTATTGTTAAAAAAATATCCACAATAACACATACAAAATAAGAAAAACTGGAAAGGAAAAACAAAGAAAAAACAGGGATTCTTTTTTTTTATAAAACCGGTAACATAAAAAATACATTTATGATTACCTTCATTTAACTGATACAGGTAAGTATTTTTGGTTATAATTTTGCCTTTATCTTTAGTCTCTTCTACCAAATCCAACGCTTGACTCAAATTGTCGTCTGTCTTATACCCGTCCATATTGACAACTGCATATAAGGAGCATGATGTATTTTTTTTTTGTAATAAAATACGAAACGGTCAACCTTGACCTGCTGATCCATATTAGCACATGAATTTAACGGGAATACGCAAAACAGCCAATTTGACATTTGTAAAATCTACTCACTTGTCAAAGTTTGAACGAAGATAGCCAAAAAAAGGTTACTAGGGTTTCATGTAAAAAAAAACAAAAACAAAATATAAATGGTTTGATATTGTCAATAAATATGCTATCCGTTCTTTTTCATTTAATAATCAATGTTAACAAATATAGGGTTTAGCATCGGGTGTAAGTTAGTTATACACCTCGGGATACGGCGTGTCTGGATAAGAAACCCCTCCGGCCTCCGGCCGTCGGGGTTTCTTATCCAGACACACCTATCCCTCGGTGTATAAATATTACAGAAACCATGGTAAATGAATAGGCTGACGTCACAACAATGGATTAATTTCAGTTAACTCATTCACCATTAACATTATTTGCGATGCACTACTGCACCGTGACGTTGTGAACCAGTGAGTTTAGCGCTGGTAGGTTAATCTCACTCCCATATGGTATGCATAGAATTGTTTGTCATTACAATTTCTTTATTTCGCAAAATTTTCTTAAATTTATAAACATCCATTAACTTAATAGATTAAATATTGATATTTTTGTCATACAATTTTGCAAAACCAGTATTGTTTTATTTGTTATTGGTATTTTGGATACGAGACCGAGAGAAAGTTTGCCATTCTCAAGATTATTGAAATAAATGGATATTCAAAGATCAAAAAGCTTCTGTCCATGCGATAAATACTGTTATCCCCTTCTGTATTAATCTTTTTTTATGAAATAAAATAGAACATGTTTCATAAAATTGAGAATGGAAATGGGGAATGTGTCAAAGAGACAATAACCCGACCATAGAACAGACAACAGCAG